AGGGGGGGGGGGGGGGGCCCCCGGCCCCCGCTGCCGTGACGGGGATTTCTCCTCGGGTTTTCCAGCGCTGAGGCTGCCCTGGGTTCGTTCTTCCACGTGAAATACAAATCGGTTGGAATTTAGAATGAAATCAAAAGGTCGATCCCCTGCCCAAATTCGCCTCTGTGTAGATACCTCTATTCCAAAGAGGGAACGATGGTGATGCAGCCGATAAGCGCTGTTAGAAACACGCGTCCCCGTCCCACCTCCTCCTTGGGTCCTGTGGTGGTTGCTGCTTCTCCCGGTCACTACGTTGTTACTCTATATTGCTTTATTTTTTATTTGGAAGGACATGCTGGCAGCCTGAGACAGAACGGGCTGTCAAAGCGCAGGCCTCGGCTTGCCAACACGTGTTCGCGTCTAAGCAGAAATATTTTTTATTAACTTCTAAATCAGGTTTGAAAATGACTTTACCTTTCAAGCAGGGAACTTGCAGTGATATATGTAAACGCTTTGGGTTTGACATCTCATTCAGATACTGCCTGACGACAGTAAAACCGAGACTTTTCTGTAATGTACTCAATGTACAAGGGGGATTCTATACATGAACACACACACACACACACACAATGTTACTTGAAGCAGGATTTACAGGGAATGCTCAGGCATTTTTGGAGACTGTTTTCCGTAAGTTGGATTCAGCCTGTGTTTACTGTGCTGTGTTGTGCTTGATGTTGTAATTAAAAATAGGAAGAATAAAATCAGGAAAGGAGTTAGACTTTTAAAGATGAAAGTTCGATCAGCAATTTTGAGAAGCACGGGAAACTTGCAACTTGAAGTTCAAGTTGTGGTGATTAAAATTAGAACTTGTGAAAATTTAAGGTAACTGATTCATAAGATGTTGAATTATCTTAGTAAGATAAACAGCTGCTGTTACCAAAATAAGTTTGTATCTAAAACTGGCACTGATAAAGAAATCTGTCATAAAATATTAAAAAAAAATAATGGCCTGGTCATTTTTAACTATGGCAATAAATGGATCTTCGCTGTTACTTAAATTTGCTTGTAGAATTTAAATTTCCCCAATGAGCTTCTCGGTACGTCTGATGCAAAGAGGTGCTGAGTACTTACATTTTGACGCGTCGGGTCTGTGGGTAGATGGTACCTCTCTGCACGAGACCACGTGAAATGGTCAGGATGGATCCCAAAGTGAGGCCGACGCTCTCCAGGCTTACATACCTTCTCTGCAAACTAAACCTGCGGATTTTGTACTCAAAGCAAACACAGCCATGCTGGCTGCGCGTTGTCCCACCACTTTGGTCCAAACTAGTTTATGACTTGGCAATGTGCTACTTCTGAAGTCATGCAGGCTATTCACACTCGTTTCACAAGGAGATGTTTGTGAAAAGTCCAGAAAGCACTGCACAGAAAAACTAAGCAAACATGGACTGAGTTTCATGGAGCTCGTCTCAGATTCCGTGGGATCTTTGGTGTTAAAAATTCAAGAATACTTTCTGCTGACGAAATTCTTTTATCCCATTTAAAAATGGCACTTTCTAGTTAAAACGCACAGCCCAACCTTGGAGAGAAAGCAGAGGATTTTACAATATTGCTAGCAATACAATTTTTACAATATTGCCTCTGAAACACAGATTTTATAGCACCCTTTGTAGGATAGTCTATGAAGAAAAATAGTATGTATACATACACTTAAATTCATGTCTCTTCAGTTAGACCTAATCCTATATAACCTCTCGCTGCAGTGACTAGTCTCATTACCTTTAATTCAGAGGTACTTGCTGCCATCAAGGTACATTAATTTTAATAAGAAAGGGTAGAGTTGAGCCCTTTGTTTCTGGTAAGACAGGTTTATTAAGTCAAAATATATCACAATGAACGAGGTTTTGCAAGTCACCTTGTCTTCTCTTGGTTTTTGTCAGATTTGTATCCCTCCAAAGATCAGACTCTCTCTTCTCTCCCTTACATCCTTCTACACAAGAAAACTTAAAAGAGCAGAATGTTGGACAGAAAGTTGGGAGTTACTGGTCAAGATACAACTTTGCAGCCTAATGACTGTGTCTCTTTCTTAAAAAAAAAAAAGGCGGAAAAAGCTTTTTGGAGCTAAACTTTCAGCTGAAACTTTTTTCCCTAAGTTTGTTATTTCTCTCTGCTTTATTTTATTTAGTTCTTTAAAAAAAGCAACAACTTGGAGAAGGGTTAAGTGTTCATTTTTCCAAAGTTTTCTTCAGCTGGAGCTAGAGAATTAAAATAAAAGCTAGGGAAAGGTCAAACATCCCTAGAACCTGGGAGAGGGAAGAATGGCAAGACTGTACAGCAAGTTATAATGTGTGCTAAGAAGTCCCTAATACTAAGCACTAAATAAGCTCAGTAGCTTTCAGGATGGGTCTTTACTGTGTCTCACTAGGTCAGCAACTGCAAATAATAATTAAAAAATTCTAAAAAAGCGATTAGTTCTGTGCATCAGTTACAGATTGTGGAAAACTAGTTGTCTGCAGATGAAAGGTTGGGAATTGCTGGTGCAGCAGATAGCAACTGGGCAAAGAACTATGCTTACAAACTACGCTTACAATATTTTAAACATCATTTACTTCCCAAAAAGTGCAAGTCATTGTGCTGACAGCATTAATTAAACAATAAAAATAGCATCCCAGGGAGGTATCCCTATTAGCACACACACGCGCGCACACACACACACAAGTATTTTAAGTACAACTTACTCTTTCAAAGATTACAAAAGCATACACAAGCCTTCTTTTAATAGTTATTTTTCCAGAAAAGTTAGTAGCCTAATAAACGACAAATTGAAAAGATCTTGAACTTTAAAAATACTACTATGGAAACTTGGTATCAAGAGCATTAGAGCAAGGGAAAACTACATCAGCAGGTGTCACTGCAGGCTCCAAAACCAGTGTAAATTTCCAAGGACGATTGCAATTAAAACCTTTTTTATGTTAGACGGGCATTAGGTCTTGTTCTTCTCATAGGCAGCAAGAACGAGTGGAAATTAATCTGCCGTAATTTAGGATTTCAAACAGTGTTAACATTTTCCGTGTGCAGGACTTGTTTGCACTGGGCATGTAAACGGAACCATGCTCCAGTGGTGGCTTACCTGCTGCACGCCGGTGCCGACAAGGAGATCCTCACGAAGAAGGGAGAGAGGCCGGCCCAGCTGACATCAAAGAGGGAGATAAGGAAGATGTTGGGAGGTAAACCTATTGGCTATGCGATATGATCGTCAGAGACTAGTAAAAGGCTGTTTGAAGCACGTATGTTCCAATCTTTATTTTGCATGTGAAGATACTGTGTTCGGGTTTTAGTAATAACTGTGACTTGATTTCTAGAGTGTTTACTTGGTACGAAATCAAAGTTTAAGAAAAGAGGATTACCAACAAATTTCATTGCCAGCTAGCTGAACTTTTTTCTAAACACTGAAAAATTAGGAAAACTGTATTTTGAAAAATGCCATGATTAAACCAGTGGCGGATAGATGCAGCTTCCTATTTTCAAAAGGGCAGCAGGAGAAAATCTCTCAAATTTGGATGGAGCCCTTATATGAGCGACACCTAATTTTCCTGATGTTCTGTGGAGCTTAGACAGTCTTGAATAAATCGAAAATTAGCAGCCCAGAGAAACAGCTCATTAAAGGACATCGGTAGAGCGTTTTCATCGTGTTTTGTAACTGCTGCAGCAGAGTAGGCTTTGCTGCTAGAGGTGATAAGTAAGTTGAAATGTGGTCGATTAACAACCTCTTTCCTCCCCTTTGTATTCCCTGTCTGTTTTTGTTTTCATTATTGTCTCCCAGCTGTTGAATTGGTAATGTTTCAGCTCTCCCAGTACTGCATGTTCTTCTCCCTTTATCCCCTGCCTTAATATCGAACAACATACTACCCTTTGTTTTTCACTGCCTTATACATTATGAAGACAATAGCATTGTACCACCAGAGACCGTGTTACAACATGCTGGCTACGAATTAAAACAAACCAACAGTATTGCAGTGTTGAAGGAACTAGCACCCCCAGAATTACTGGGATCGGACTCTGCTTTTGTGTTTACTGTCTTGCAACACCTGAGCACGGTTCTGTCTACTGTAGAAAAAGGGCGTAGTGCTTCTTGATTCATCTTTTACCCTGTGATGCTTTTAACACTCCGCTCCCTCTCCATAAAAAAAAAAAAAAAAAAAAAAGAAAAGAAGCCCCACAGTGTTACAGCAATACTACTTTTTTTCCCCTCAAATCAGACTCGGAGGATGTTGTTTTGTTTGTTTTACAGTGGAAGATGATGAACTCCCAGACTTAAAGAAAGATTCAGATCTGCCAATCATCCCTAATTATCTGGCAAACCCACCTTTCCCCTACGTTTATAACACCATGAGTAACAGTATTCCAGACCCCTCGGTGAATGGGAGCATCTCACACTTAGAATCGCAAGATACCGACTCTTCTTCCTTACCCGATGTGGAGACTTGTACACGGGCATCATTACAGCATGGGAACGCTGCTGCTCCCGAGGCGGCTGATAACACGGGCATCATTACAGCATGGGAACGCTGCTCCCGAGGCGGCTGATAACGGCGGCATGCCGTCACTGCCCAGAGGGCGTACTGCGCCACCACACTCGAAACCCGTCCTTCAGAAAGGCCCGGTTTACCAGGGGTCGGTGTCTTGGAGCAGAAGTCCCCCTTCGCCAGTTGGATCAAACCAGGCCGTACGGCCAGAGGACGGCTCCTGTATGGGGCCTGTGCCAGCATTTCAGCCGGTTTTCTTCACAGGAGCTTTTCCACTTAATATGCAAGGTAACAGTAAACGTCTCTTCTCGCTTTGTCTTGGAACTTCTGTCACCTTGGACAGTGAAAATAGACTCATCAGGGTTACGTGTATTCACAGCATTTCTACAGATTTCAGGTTCCCATGCTTAGGCATTCAGGAACCGTTTAAAGGGAATTAAGAGGCAGATATCCTGTTTCTGCTGGAACTGTTATTAAAATATTGATGAAAACATTTGCTGTTTGTCTGAAATGCTATAAAAGCATACAGACACCAGGGTAATCTAATTCTCTAAATAGCATACTCCAAGCTTCAAATAAGGAATGCGAGTACGCAGCTCAAGAGAGCTCAATCTGTAGACCTGAGTCTGAGGTGAACTATTACACGATCTGCCATTTCTGCAGGTAAATACTGCCTGCCCAAAGAGGGAAATCTGGAATTTCCGTTCCAGTTCAGAATTTCATTCTTGAAATAAAAGCTGTTCTGATGCCATGAATTAGCAAGGAGGAGAAGTTAAAAAAAATCCATTTGAATCGTAGTGCCTGATGACCGAAAGAATCAAAAACCAATAAAAGCAATCTTGGATTGCTCAGGAAATTGATAACCAGTTTAATCTTCTCCTTTTAAGTTAGCTTAAATCCAGCAAGATGAGTCTTCACGCAAAGGTTCATTCATGCATATACACACACTCTATTAGATTTGTGGTGATTTTTTCATACAGGTTGGTGAAAGTCAATCTCATGAAAATTGTGGTCATACGAGTCCAGTTGTTTGCTTTCTGAGGGTTCTCGTATTGTTACAAATGATACAAACGAGGTTAATAGAACATAGAAATATTTGGAAGTTAGTATGGAGATATCTTTTCCAATTCCTTTATACATCTGCCTATTAATGTACCTTTTTATTTCTAATAGAACTGGTGCTTAAAGTTAGAATACAAAACCCTAATCTTAGAGAAAATGACTTCATTGAAATTGAACTGGACAGACAAGAACTGACCTACAAGGAACTGCTCCGAGTGAGCTGCTGTGAGCTGGGTGTTAACCCTGAGCACGTGCAGAAGATCAGAAAATTACCAAATACAATGTTAAGAAAGGTAAGAAGTCTAAATTTTGAAGTGCAGTAACTTACAAAAAAGGGGTTTAGGTTGCCATTAAAAAGGAATAATTTGTTGGTCACCTGCATAGGCCCACGTTGCAAAAAACCAAAAAACCCAAAAACCAACCAACCAAACAAACCAAACCAAAAAACCCCAAACCAAAGACCTTACTTCAGTTTTCAGCACTCAGTAGTTGTTAGGGATTTTTTTTTAGTAAAAAGGTTCTCAAGTTTCTTGATCGTTTCCTTTCATAAACATTTGGTGTTGAGCCCAATTAATACCCGATTTCTCTACTACGCTCTCAAATTCAGTGCAGTGCCACACCACTGTGACCTGTCATCAGCATGTGAAAGGCCTGCAGCACTCAACGGAGTTTTGCTCGTTCAGCGAGGACTGTATGCAGTCCCTTCAAAAACCAGAAAGGTGTTTCAGAATTGTTCTGAGGGCAGGTCTCTGAGTGTAACTGTCTCTTCACTTCAGTGACACTTAACTCTGCAGCAAACAGAGAACGGACCTGCTGACCTGTTTTACTGATTCACCGTTGACCTTTCTTTCACTCTCAAACCCCTCTAGAGCATTGTTGGCATCAGTTGTGGAGCTAATCTGATTAGTACTAGATTAATAGACATCACTATACTGCATCTTCACTGACTATAAGGTGACTTAGTCTTTGTTAGTCAAGAAGTGGTGGCAGGGGAAAGACAAACATAAGCAGTTCTGTCACTTGCCAACTTGGGTTGTTGTTGAAAGGACTGTTTTTACTTCCAGCTCTAATTACGTCAGGCTCTCTGGGTAGGACTGCAGGACACTTACTGTTCCTTGAGGCGATACAAAACTAATTCTGTTTGATGCTGTGTAGCAGCAGAGTACAGCTGCAGAGGGGATCAGAGCTCGAGCCTGTACTGTGGGAGGGTGTCTCTCTAAAGGCCCTGCCTAAGCCAGTGCTGCGATGGCGTTGGTGGGCCGCTCTCGAGGAAGCTGCATGCAGGACCTTCTTGGGTAGAGGCAAGGATCAATTCATGAGCTTCTAAGAATTACCAAGGGGGAACAAAAGAGGAGTTGGGGGGGCATGCAGTAGACTTTTACAAGTGTAATTCCACTAATCGCTTGCACTCACCGTCGGTATTGCATTCCTTCTAAAAATAGACTTAAGAGAGTAGCTGAATAGGATCCCAGAATAAACATAAGATGCAACAAGATGTCTGCTTTCCAGTTTACTGTAAAGAATTGTCATATTTATGGGTAAATACATACCTTCTGTTAGTATGAGCCTATTATTTTAACTTACCTCTGCAAAACTGAACAGACAGTTTATCACCTAACAACTTATTGTATTTATTTAAAGGACAAAGATGTTGCAAGGCTACAGGATTTCCAAGAACTGGAGCTTGTTCTAACAGTAAGCGACAAAAACTTACTTTTCAGAGTCCCAACACTTTCTGAACGGAGTGGTTATAACAAGAAGGCATCAGAACTGACATATTAATCATTTAAAGAATAAAACAAGAGATTTGTGTATCTCATTTTAAAATTACATTTGAAATACAGTATCTATAAGGGCTAATGATGTGGGACAAAAAAAATCTATTTTGTTAACCTTGAAATAAACAAAAGATGTTATGCACAGTTACAGCCTCTAGTTAATCTAAGAGTAACGAGTCTGATACGAAAGTAGCTTAATGCAAAGGAAGTACTGGTAGAAGGATCTGTTAATGCAACACTTTTCCTTACAAAAATCTTGAAATACTGTAGAGTTAGCAGCTCTCAGGGAAAGGCTTACCTTAAACTGTTCTAATAATTTGTTTGCTATGAAATAGCGGAGGTACTCAAGCTAAAGAACCTGCCATGAAACCCATTTAATATTTGTACTGAGTCCATTACCATTAACGTTCACTTTTTAGATCATGTATTTTAAGTCGTATCTTATTTAGAAGGAAAAAGACAGAAGGATTTAAATCTGTGGAAGAAGCACAAAACTATGTCTAGTTTAAATACTATCAAGTGACTTATTACCTGGGATTTCTTAATCCCTGTTTACACTTTTCCCTATTTCTCAGGTTGAAAACAAAAAGTGATAGTAATTATCCAAATCATAAATACGCTCTCAACCAAAATCCCTTTTACTGTTGTCTGTCAATATATAGTATTGACATGTGCAATTTAAAATACTTTTTGTTACTGTATTGAAAACACATTTCTCCAATGATGCTTTAATTTCCCCTTTTAAAAGCACAAAAATTGTAATTTTACTTTCCTTTTACCTCTACATTCCTGAGAAAGATTGCGTCTTGAAACTTCAAAGTTGCCTGTGTAAAAAGAAACTAGTGAAATGCCCAGGGTTTTCTGGGCTGATATTAAATCTTGGTGTTCCTATGCAATGTATTTTCTTTTTTTCCAATGACTTGTGTGTACTCGCGTTGCTTATTGAAAAGCAAAAATCACTTTTCCTGTTCCTCTTACTTAAAATACAGAATTAGACTACTTTGCTATGAAATTCTGGAATAAATAAATTGAAAAGTATTTAAGAGCTGGATTTTATCTAATTTTTTAGGATTTTAGTATTTACTCAGCCATCTGCATTTGAGGAAGAGTTTATTCTGGTAGCCTAACTGTAAAAGTATGCAGTACGAATGAGATGAACGAACCAAAGTACGAGATGTAACAGGCCAACAGAACAAACACACCAAACTGGGCTGAATTTCCCACTGTTCCTTCGTCGTCCCCCTCCCTTCCCCCCAGTTGCTTTGGAAACTACAGCAACCAAAGTGTTTTATGGTCTTGTCGTCAAGGAATTTACAGCCCAAGTTAGCTGTACGTTGTATGTGGACCTGTAAATGGGATTTACAGAAGTAGCCATGCTGAGCAGGGAGCCACCCAAAGTAGCTGGAGGAAATGCTGAGGCGAGAACTGCATCGTAAGCTCTTACCGCTCCAGGTGGCTTTAGGCATCCACCACAGCCTCGCCGCCTTTCTCGGAGGCTGTGGCAGGCAAAGGAGTTCGTTCTTCCCCTGCAGTCAGGGCAGTCACCCCTGTTACAGCTAACACAATAGGAACTGGTACCCAAATTTACCCGCGCTCTCTCTTTCTCGTCCAGTGAATAGTACTTTGGGCAAAGGGAAGCAGCTTCAGCAGGAGTGACTGAGCACGCAAGAGGGAGCCCTCTCCCAATCTGCCGTGTAGTCGGATGTCCAGTGTTCACCTGGAAGCACAGATCCATGCAAACACCCAGATCTCCTGTGTGCCAATTAACTAGACCGAAGCTCAGTCTCCTAAGGCTAACAGTGGGACATTTTGTCACAACAAAATACCCTCTTCTGGAAAGTGCTGGAGGTTGAATGTGGTCCAAGTCATTGGCAAGATATTTTTTACACCAAATTGCTGGTGGTGTGTTAACTTCTGTATAATGGAATAATAGAACTGTTGTTCCTCGTATCGCACTTTGTCTATTGCATTCTCCCTGGCGCACAGAACAGATGGGGTTTAGGCATCGGCTGTCGCAACGCCGGCTAAATCCACGAAGGTACCAGGATTAACCAGTCAGACCTACTAGAGAAAAGCTCAGCTGTTGGGTTGATGACTTCGTTGTCACACTCATTATCTTGCAGAGATGCTGATCCCTATCTATGCATTCAGAGGAATATTTTTATACCTTATGCAGTTTGTACACAGAAGGTACTATTAACACTCCTAACAGTCCGATCAGCGTGTAATCATTACGTTACTGTGTATGATAAATAATTCATTACTTTGTGCTCTGCTATATGAAATGTTAATGTCAAATGAATGCTTGGCTGCAGATTCTTGTTTCTATTTAAGAAGTAGTATTTGTAAGAATTAATAAATGATTATTTTTGTCTTCTCAAAGTTTTTCTGAGCTTTACTTACGGAAAAACATAGGAACTTTTTCTTGCCAGGTAGGTTTCTAGAGTGCTTGGTGGAGGAAGTGAACAACGAAAGCAAAAGACATTCTGTCAGTCAGATCCTGGCAGCAAATGTTGTTTAAACACAGTACTCCCTTTATCTGAGGGGGCTTGGTTATCAATAATAAGGTAGATATTTATTTCTGCAAAAGAAATCACATATTATTTCAGGCGATTAAGTGTTCAATGAGATAAATTATATACACATCTGCTCAGCATGCGTGTTCAGCTTAAGTGGAGACCTACTCATAGTGACTTCATACATAAGAGAGAGAGAGCAAAATTATCATACTGCTGTGCCAACCATGTCCCTGCAGGCTTATGTGGAGTCTACTCGGTAGAAATTGTGTCGTTCATGATTTATATATTAAGCCATCTGTAGGTTTAGTTTTAAATACACGTTACTTGTAATTCTTACGCTGAAGAGGAATTTCAGAATGCTAAAGTTGCCCTGGGCAGGAATACCAAAGGTCCTGGGATAGCTCACAGCTTTGAGGCCGCAGCATTCAACTCCCTTGTGCTGGGGGAAATACTGAAAGGAACAGGTTGGAACCACTCGGAGATTACACATTATTTCACTATTTTTCAGCTGAGTCACTGCTTAACTGGGCCTGTCTTTCCACTTCAAAACCAATGAATCCTTATGCAGAAAACACACAAAAGAGGTGTATTTTGTACTGTTAATATAATTTACTAATCATAAACCTGAATACAGTACATATTGCCCTGTGATACATTTTCTTGGCAGAATGTTTGGCATTCTTTGGGAAAAAGGCATATAATAAAATACTTTATGTATATAGAAAATATTTAAAAATATAAAATTCACTTTCTGGTCCTTATAATTGAAAAATACTTTGTTCACATATCACAAGTTTAGTCTACTACAAAAACTGTTTTGTAAATTACAGTACATTCACAAGTCACTTTTGTGGCAAGTCATTAATATTAAAAAAAAAACCAAACCAAAAACCCAGGGGGTCTTCTTTTCATGCTAGTCCAGCATCTTTGGCCATACTGTAGAAAATACCCTTTGATGCTATAAGGCTTGCAGGTGTATCGAATTCAGCTATGGTTCCGTTGTCTAGAACAAGAACCCTGCGCAAAACAAAAGGTGGTGGTGGTGGTGGGGAAGATAAGTCAGAAAATGCAGAAGAAATGCGATCATAAAGCAAACTGCTCTAATCTTTGCCTTGCCTTTGTTTTGCTCGATTATTTTCACACCTTGAAACACAACAGATGATAAACATTCTCCCTGAGCTGCTGTTTGATTTAAAAAGGTACAGGACAGTCACCGTCTCCCAGGGGTAATAAGGGGTGGGGGAAGTGTCATACTGGTAGTGCTGGAATTGAAAATATAGTACCAGAAATCCAAGGAGATAAAAGCTCATGAAGAATAGTAATATATTTCAGAGTAATTAATATGACATGATGTTAGTGAAAAAGTTACAGCAGCTGCTAGTTTGAAAAGGATCCGTAAGCTTGCTGACAGTGCCATTAGTGCAACTGGGTAGTACCTCTTGCGCAGCTCTGGTTAGTGAATAAAGAACCCGTTTCTTACGCCAATAGAAGCAAAGTCGGGTCTGGATACGCTAGGATTATATGGCTTAAACATCATTGCTTACATACTACCTGACAAGAGCATCAGTGTGACTATCTAGAGACAAACCAGACCCTTTTAAGTGCTGCTTCACACAGCCAGTAAACCGGTGAGCCCCCCCCACCGCACCAGTAAGAGATTTTTACCTTGTGTAATCCATAATTGTGTTCAGCCTGTGCGCTATTGTCAGCACTGTGCAGTCTTCAAACTGGGTCCTAATTGTCATCTGGATAAGATCATCCGTCTCGAGATCGATAGCTGCCGTCGCTTCGTCTAGGATCAAGATTCTTGTCTTGCGAAGCAGTGCTCTCGCCAGACAGACGAGTTGCCTTTGGCCAACGCTGCAAGCAGAGACAGAGCTTTCACAAACGAGGCCCCACTGCCCTTAGCTCTCCACTGCTCAGAATCACTTGTGCTAGAGCAGGTTACTCATCAGGTGAAGTTACCGAACAAAAGAAACAAACAAACAGATAGTATTCAGCAAACAGCCCAGTCTGTCCACCCTAGAGCTAATAAGTACACGTTGCAGCATTACTCAGCTAGTTTTAGCATATGTGTTCGCTTACTGCCTGACCCAGTACTGACAGAGCCACCAAATGCCCCCTTTCTATCACTGTGACAAAAGCCAGGGAAACTAATAATTACAATGCTTCTGCCTGAGTTTTCAGAAACACACACAGTTGCAACAACACTGAGCATATGCAAACTTAAAAAAAAAGAGAAGGGGGGGGGGGAAGGAAAAAAGATCTGAGCCTGTAAGTCCTTTCTACCATCAAAGAAAAAAAAAAAATCTGGGTGGCCCACACGTCCTCCCCTGCCACAAGAGCACCCCAGACACAGCCTCTGCGGGATGAGGAGGGAGCTGAACATTCATCACATACATAATCTGGTTACACCACAGACTCAGAAGCCAACGCAGCACTTCAAAGCATGGCATTTTATCATGCTCATCCATGTCTTCATGGGTCTTCCAAATAACAGTGGAAAATAAACATTCCTAAAGTGTCAGTTTAGGCAGAGGACTCTTATTCAGCACAGCAGTTATATATGTTATCATGGCATTTCCCTTCCTACCGAACCATATTTAAGGGACTGCCTATTCCT